AAAAAAAAAAAAAACAAATGTCTCACTACTATAAAGGCTTGGTTTGGTCTGATATTTCATTGGTCGTAGTGTCCAGGGTCACTGATGAGAGGTGGAATTCTCCGAAACTAGTCTGGCTCACAGACACACCCCTAATGAAAGATTAGACCATTCCAAGCTTTTACTTGTTGTTAAACAAATGTTTAAACAACTCTAATCAATAATTTCCTGCATCTGCGATTTGCGAAAAATTTTGACTCCCTGTTGAATATCAATGTACCTGACTACAACAACTTTTGTTATCTGTATATGTGTATTCAGTGAATATTTTCATACTTAGCACGTACCTTGCAACATTAAACATGCTGTTTTACGAATGAGTGAAATTAATTGCACGTCCAAAAAAACAGTTCTTATCTTCGTATTTAAAATTTTCGCACAAAGCTACACAAGGACTATCTACACATATCCATCCATAATTCCATAGATTATAATGATGGCAGCTAGTCAACAGCACCCACCGTCAACTCTTCGGCTACTCTTGACTGACCAAATAGTGAGATATGACCATCGTTCATGTAGTGCACCCAAGATTACAAAAGACGGAGTACATTTTTTCAACAACGGAATCCGAACCAATGGCCTAAGGGAAAACGGTGTTTTTAATTACATATTTAAAATTTTTTTAAACTTAAAAACATTCACACTTGAACAATATTGGAGGCTAAACATTAAATCATACATTACCTTAGCTCAAATGTGTGTGCCCTCCAGTGGCATAACGGTATGTCTCCGGACTTACAGCGCTAGGAACCAGGTTTCGATACCCGTGGTGGGCAGAACACAGAAAGCCCATTGTGTAGCTTTGTGCTTAACTGCAAAAACAAAACAAACTTTATATTTACTTATCATTTACTTAGTGTCCATGCTACGTTTGTAACAGTAACTGTAATAATATTTTGACATTGAGTCTTTTTTCTGAGTATTGTACTGGATATCTCACATTAGCCGGGCTGGTTGCCCGACAGCCTAGATATCTTGCATTGGAGGATGCCGCTACACAGCCCTATTAGTTATACTCTTGCCTGAGCTAAAACTTATGTAAAACAACACCGTATTAACACGTAATAAAAAGTAACAAACATAGAAAAACAACGATATAGCATTATTCTAAGTGCGTTTCAAGGTAATAACTAAACATGATATTTAGCATGAAAACATTGAAAAACCATATACCACATAGTTCACTCTCCTGTGGTATATTAAAGATTGGCAAGGTTTCTAAAAGGTCTAATTCGTAATAAGGCACATCTTGTTGAGGTCGTTTACCAATTCAACCCTAAGTGTTGTTATATGTAGCATGATTAGGTCAAGGAAGATATCTATTGTTTCATGGTGTTACGCCTCCAGTCGTTAATTGATTTTCCGTAACTTCGTTCCGACGAAACTTTAGCGACACAAGTCCTTACTTAATAAAACTGGTTTATTCTTTCTGAATATAACTTTACCGATACACTTATTTTCAACAGTC